ACACGGCCACAATGACAATCAAATTTTAGCATGTGTTTCAGAAAGGCTCAACTACATTCAAACCATAGAATCAGCTATGCTATGCCTCGTAGAATGCTGGGCCCTTTGACAGGTCTCCTAGCAATGGGTTCTGCTAACCCAGTCTACAGCTGCAGCCCTCAGAGTACTTGAAAGAGAAAGACATCTACATGATCTGAATTCTGGGCAACCTGGAGGCTTCATCTGTTCCCAAAATGTCCCCCTCCTCCTCAGTTTCATGTCCTTCCTGTTAGGCTCCTTCCATAATTCCCGTAGAGTTCAGGCACTGGGCAAGTCTGGGCTGGAGTCCAGCTCAAATTCCACCCAAGGCTTGTGACAACCTGGAGAGAAAATGCTTTTCTCCACGCCCAAGGGTGGCCTGCTGTGGCCGCCAGCACATCCCTCACTCACCTGGAGGTCAGAAAACAAGCTGCCGGTGCTGAGGTAAACAAATGTTTCCTGGAATGGAAAGGTCACCCTGTCTGCCATTAGTGTATGGGACCTGGTGCTGGAATTCTTCCCCACTCCTCGTGTGTGTGTGTGTGTGCGCGTGAGAGAGAGAGAAATAGAGAGAGAAAGAGAAATAGAGAGAGAGCGAGCAAGAGAGAGACAGACAGACAAACAATCAGAGACAGACAGAGAGGCACACTCAAGAATATACATGCATGGGCCCATGTAGACATGTTCAGTAAATGTATATAAACATACTCATTCATATGTTTTTGTATGTGTATGCCTTAGTTCTTAAAGACAGGGGTCGGTGGTGCTGTAAGAGAATTTCAGCCCAGCCCAGGAGCTGGGTGATGTGGTTAATGTTGGACGAGACCCAGGAATGGCAAGGTTCTAGGGCAGAAGAATGAACGGCAGAGCGACCAGCACACCCTGGTCTGACCTCACAATCCTGCTGAAAGTCAGCCCTCCGGTTTAGACCCGCGGGGGAGTGACTACAGCTGGTGGTGCTCGGTGAGGAGACACGGAACTCTCTGCTGTGGTTTGGCATCACCCGAAGCTCTCGTCAGAGCAGGTTCCATCCTCCTCACGGCAGCACAGTCAGAACCCTGAGCTTTGCAGGGTGGCTTCAGTCAAACAGGAACGTACAGTCATTTCAAGGTCACTTGTGGAATTGTGTCCACATGAACTTAGGTGACTCCTGCACTCCTCCTTTTGCTCTGAATGAGATGCCTCATTGTTTGAAGCTTGAGAAGATAGGAGCCAACCAGACAGAACAATAAACAGAGGTGAGAGACTGTGCCCATGGTGAGAAGGAGGCGAAGCTTGCCTGCAGGTCAGACAGTATCATAGTCTTCAGTGTAATTTTCTATAAATCTTAGCAGCTTAAGCTATAGCACCAAGGACACAGTCACCTACAGCAAGAGGGAGGGGCCCGTGGCCAAGCAGCTTCCAGCTTTTAGACCAGCAGCAATCCGACCACAAAAAAAGCTGCATCCTAGCCTTCCCTGTGGACTCCATCCCTGCATCTTCAGAACCTAAGAATGTCTCCGTGGGAGAAGAAAAAGGAAGGCACCCATAGACACGACAGAGTGCTTGTCTAGCAGACGTGAAAACTTGGTGAAACTTCCTATGATTCCAGCATTAAGAGGGGAAGGCAGCAGGAACAGAAACTCAGTCTTCAGCTAGTAAGTTTAAGGCCAGCCTGGAAAACATGAAACCCTGCCAAAAGCAAAGATTGGGAGAGACAAGCAAACATTCGAGAACAAGGTTTTTCACCCTATTCCCATTTGCTCACGTTTCTTTAGAGCTTCGGGGCCCTCACTTTTTGAAAATATTGCCTCTAAATACTTGAGGTCCATTGCCCATGTCTTTCTCTCTTCAGTTAGCTGGCCTTCCTCCCGTCCCTAAACCTTGATTACTATTTGACTCGGAACAACTTCACGAATTCCCCAGGCCTCAGTTTGCTCAACAACTTCCTCAAAGGAGATGATAACTGGCCCAAAATAAGCAATAGTAATTGGCAAGTGTTAGGAGAACGAAATTGCCAGTTGGGAGCCACCCTATTGTCTGCTCCGCCAGGCAGTATACCATTCCTGAGAACACCAATGTCCCTGAGGACAAGGGACCTTGGCATGCCACACAAGGCCACACCAAACTTGCAATCACACAGTTGACCAGCCAACCAGACGGACCACACCCGCCCCAGGCCTCATTAAATATTGATGACTTCTATAATGTCTTTCGAACACAACATGATGCTTCTCATACAAGACCTTCCATGATCCCATGGCCCCAAGGGGAAGGACAGCTTTTCATAGCCCTTGAGCAGCTTAGCCTCTGGGAAACTTTGCCATTGACTCAGGGAAAACTAACCCACTGGAAGAACTTTCCTAAAGTCCTCCCCCCTGCTCCAGAAAGAAAGGAAATGGAAGCGACTGTCTGTGGTTTATGGTCAAGGGGACTAAGACGGAAGGGGCTAACCCGGTGACACGAGCAAGTGCGAGGATAGGTGGATTTGAAAACTGGGGAGCATAGCTGAGCAGCAGAGCACTTCGCTGCCATGCCTGAGGCTAATTGTTCTGTCCCAGCACTACAAAAATCAGCTGGTGTGCTCCTGCCGAATATAGCTCCTGAAATAAAAGATAGGGTGTATGCCCCCACTCCGGGTACATGCCCAGGATCATACCTGGGGTCAGGCCCTCAAAGCTGTGCATCTTTGCATCGAGGTTTTCACGTAGGAAATGAGCAGTCTTTAAGGACTCACCCTCATGATTTGTCACGGTCCTGCCAAGTCAAGAAGATTGGGAGGCCTCGTGGCCCCTGCCAAGCAATCTCTGATTAACGTTCTCATCCTGCCCCTCAGAGGCCACACCTGTGGTTCTTCCTTTGCCCTCCACAGAGGCAAATGTTCAGAAAGTCTCAGTGGCAGGGGGAGGGGAGGGGATAGGAGAACGAAGTACTTAGAAAAGAAAGAAAAGCCTTTGATTCCCATGGAAAGCACTCAACAGCAGCACGGGCACCATGTAATTATCCACGTGCACACACATCAGAGAGGGGGCCAAGAGAACGGGTTTAGGAAGACTTCATTGAACTATGCCCCCAGCCCTCTGCCTTAGTCTTAACACCCAGGAAGCGTGGGAATCATACTCTTCCCTCAATATGAACTTGGATGGGAAGGGATGTCTGGGAGCTAGCATTCTCCGGGGGTGGGGACAATTCTAAGTTACAATGTGGCTTTATTTGAGGAAAGGGTTACAAGAGCTGAACATCAACCAGCAGAGAGGAGGGAGAGCTACCCACTGGAAAGCTGAGGGATGGCAGCACCTTTCACAGATAAAATCTGATGAGGTGGTGAATGGTCTTCACGCTTAGGTTAACCCTGGGACCTGAACTCATTCATCGTTGGTCACCTTACTCCATGCCTAGTACAGGGGACTCAGCCCAGAGCTACACAGACATTGAGGTAAATCAAGTCTAGGATGGCAAGCCCAAGAGGACAAACGAAAGAAGTGAATATAGGGCGGTCTCCAGGTCTACCCTGGTGGACCAGCTTCCTATGATGCTGAGGCCTTTGGGAGAAGCCAGCTGCTCCCCTCCAGCTGAGGCTGGACCTGGGACGCAGTGTTCTCTCTCAGTCTCGGGTTTGTTTCTGAAGGTCAAGAGATGTAAACAGGGCAGGGACTGGATAGCAAGGTTGACTTTATGAAGTGGGGACTTTGCTCAACTCTGTGCCCAACCCTTACGGAAAGGGTGCCAGTGACTGGGCCTGGGCATGGGACACAGGCTCATCACGGGGACCAAAGAGAGTCAAGATATAGCGCATGACCACAGAGCAGGTGAGGTTTGCCAGCACCTTCTTTTACAGGAAACATTCCCCAAACCCCATCTCTCTCCTGAGATCTGTTTAGGTCATTTTTTCCCATCCCTGAGTGCAAAGGGCTGCAGAATAAGTGGTGCCCAAAAAGACCTGGTAGAAAGAGAGGCATTTTGAAGAGGGTCCTGTCCTCTGTGTCACAGCTCCCTGACTAGAAGGCAGAGTAAAACAAGATCCCTGACTCTAGCCTTAAATGATGGCTAATGAACACGTGGGTAAGGGCTTTAAGGGCATAGTTCCAATATTAAAGGGATCCCCAAAATGATAAATCAAGCTCCTTGTAAATGGAGCCCAAGGGCCAGAGAGGCTTTGGTCACTGAAGGAGATCACAGAGAAACAGCTAAGTGGTTCAGCATCTGTGGCCTGGCCTTGTGTTTACCTGGTTCTGCCATTAAGTTGGGTAATTATAGCCAGTTACTTAACCTCCAAAAGTCTCAAAAAAAAAAAAAAAAACCCAGAGACAAATATGCCCACCCCAGAAGCTGGTGACAAGCTTCTGTCAGGCCAGGCAGGAATCTGACACACCGTCAGCCCTCCATGAGCAGATGCTGTGTGCAGGCTGTGGGCTTGAGGGCCACTATCCAGGTGGATGTCCCTTCCCAGAGGAGGAATGGACAGGAGGTCATTTGTGGGGAGTGATTGGCAGGGCGCCTGCTCACAGGGAGTGCTCAGCCGCAGCAGCTGGGGAGATTAGCACTATTTTAAGTCTCCCCTGAGGAGCCAGGTTGCTGTTTCCACCCGCATGGGCCCCCTTGACAATAGGCGGAGGAGTCTGTACATCAAGCTCCGTGACCCTTGAGGACCTGTGTCTCCTTGGGTCTGGACAGCAACAGGCCTTAGTCTTGGCTCCACAGAACAGACAAAAACCTGTTTCCCAGCAGGGAATCCACATTCCTTTTGGATGGAGTGCCTTGGCAGCAAACTCCCTGAGGGCTGGAAGTCAGCTCCTCACAGACTTCTGAGGGAACTCTATTGGGAGGAACAATTTCTCCTCTTTCCTTGGAAAAGCCACTGCACTCCCAGGGAAGGTTTTTATATGGTTATTATCCCGTGCCCTCCTGGTGAGACCCCGGCCGGCGTGCTGCTGAGACTGAGCCTAAGACAACAGAAGCGAGTTTACTGCCTTGCTTTTGAAGTGGGCGAGAAGGCTGCTTACCTGTGGTGTACAAAAAACACAGTGTGCCTGTTTACACACTGGGGCGGTGGATTCCTCAAGGTGGTCCCCTAAAACAAGAGCAAATAAGCAGAGGTGAACACAAGGGCACAAGAGATCTGGAAGGGTGGGAACCGCAGACTCCCGAGCAGAAATGGGAAGGAAAGAGACCCGGGGGAGCTATGTATCCTCTCCCCTCCCCCAAAAAGGTTGGTCTTGGATAATGTCAGACTGGACAGAGGATCCCCCTCATATGTAACATACCTTCTGAGCTGCCGCTGGCCACGGGCTAGCCCGTGTAACCTTGCCCTCCTTATCAGAGGCCCTGTCTGGCCATACAAGAAGGCTGGGGAAGAAGGTTGAAGGACCCATCAAGAAAATGAGCTGCTCGGATCATCAGGCTGGAGCAAAGTCTCCCAGGTCTCTCTCTCCACAGCCATTCCTGACAGACAGGACTTTCACTCTGACATCTAAAAGCCAGTTTGAATCACACCAGTTCCAGTTTGTTCCTCGTCCCCTACCTAACTGTCAGGTTATTTGAACTTTTCCACCCAGCACCCAGTCCTTCATTGGCTAGCTGACTCCAGTTTCTACCTCCAGCTTCACTCCCGAACTCAGGTCGGTTCCTTTGCCTGTGGCACCCTTGCCCTTGCTGCAGCGTTAAGCTGCCCACTCTTTCAGGTCAGGCTCAAGTTCTGTTTCCTTCATAAAAGCGTTCCAAATCGACCTACGATCAGCCTCTTGCTGGTTACCCCACCTCCCTCTTGAAATGACCTCTGACTTCCCGCACTTTGTTGCTCCATGTGTCCGTTGTCACAGTTCATCTACCTCAGGCCTGAACGGTCATCAGCCTTTCTCTTTTCCTCCTTCTGCTGTCACTGAAGTGCCACCCACAAAACGTTCGCTTTTAGAGGGTGGGCTCACTGCTAGAGTTGCTGGTAGCATCCCTTCCTGATTGTGCTGATTGTGGACCTCCGGACTCCAAAGCTCAGGTTCCTATCTCCCGACATCCTCTGGGCCTTAGAACCTGTACACATAGTTAGCATCTCAGAATCGTCATTCTACAGCTCCCCGAATGCTAGAAGTACTCTTGCATATGGGAACCCAAAAGTGGAATAAGGGCTTCCCAATCTCTGCCGAGTGACAATCAAAACCTAGGCTCTCAAATGCTCAAAACCACTTGGAGATGGGTTCTCTTAGAATTCATCCCTGGTGCTCACCAGGATACTTGAGCATGCCTGGTCTCATCTGAGAATGGAAGCTAAACAGAGCTGGACCTGGTCAGCCCTTGGATGGGAGGACCCATCTCCAACTGCCGTCCTTCCCTGGCTGGCGCTGTCTTCTGGGCTTGTCCTTCTGCTCGCCCATCTTTTTCAGGAAACTTCACTAAATCTTGCCACAGAAAGAGCCTCTTCCCTGACATCCCACCTTGTTTCCCAGCCTAAGACCCAGGCCCTCTCTCTCCCCAGCAGGTCTGCCAGTGAAGATGGAGAGTCACATCTCTCCTTTAGCAACATGCCAATGCCCACACTGTCCCTTCCTTTGGACTGCTCCTAAGATACTCAAACACGTCTCCAGAAACTACGTGTTTCCAGCTAGAAAGCCCAGAATCTTCCTGAGCATTTCCCTGTCCTTCAGTGCCAGTTTCATTCTGGTGGAACACCATCAAAATCGCCCTTGCCGGTTCTATCACCATCACCCTCAGCCATTCCTCAGGTTCAGTCTTTTTCTCCTGCCTAGAGTCCCCTGAGTGTGGCCCTTTAACTGGGAGGGGTCTGGTGAGGCACCGCTTGCCCAGCTCCTTCGTCTTGTCACCTGCCCAGGAACGTGCCCAGATCTGACAATCATAAGACCTCTACTCAAGGGACTGGGCCATTTTGTGTCCTTAGAGCCTGTTTCTTTCTCAGAAACTCAAGAGACGATGACTAAGCAGCTACTGAATGACTGCCAGGCTACCAGAATAGGGGTCCTAGACCCAGCAAGTATCAAAAGCAAAGGATTGGAGGAGAAAGGGGCGTGGGATCAAGTGCAGATCTGAGTTCACCTTTCTAACTTCCTGTTCCTTGGCCCTGTCTCAAGCCGGAAAAGGATTGCCAGGTCTTAAAGAGATAAAGACAGAAACAAGGAAAGATCTAGAAAGAAGATCTGAGGCTTAGTACTATGGCCTCCAAGGAAGCCATCGTCCCCAGAACACATTCGCATCCCGAGAATGAGGAGGGACTGGAAAAATCCTAGTCTGGATGTGTTCAGTAGAATTTAATGGTTACACATCTGGAGACCATGGGAGCATTGCAGCTCAAGCAACCAAGATGGTGATATTTATTCATCTACTTATTTCTTTATTTATCTATTTATTTATGTAGTCTCCCGAAGCTGTGCTCAGGAGGACTAGAGGCCAGGAAGCAGCTCAGAAGGCTGTTGCCATAGAGAGAACTGGAAAGGGCAGTTACAAGAACAGAGGCCAGGCCCTACCTGACTTTTGCTGGGCCGTGAACCCCACCTTTCCCCTCTAGTTCCTCTGTTTAGTTGTTCCTTGAACCAATATTGACTGAGCTACTGCATACAGAGCCTGTGCTGAACACAGGCTCACCTGCTGTGGCCTCCCTTTCCCTCCCTCTCTTCCTTCCTCCATACCTGTCAGCCCTTCTCGCCAGCCCCCTGCTTCCCCCACATCTCCCTCTCTGTTTCTTTCTCATTAGGAATTCAGTGAGCTAAAGCCAAAAACTCCAGCTCTTCCCTCGTAGGGGAGAGGCACAGTGTAGACAAGGCTCTCCCCTCCCTAAGACCCACCCTTGCACAGTGAGCCCTTAGAGTGCCAAGCGAGCAGCAATAGCACACGCCCAGTTCAACCCATGTGATTTAAAATAAGTATGTAAACCTCTCTACATAACAAATTAGGTATGTGTTGGGAGGGTCCAGCACTCAGGAGGCAAATGCAGGAGCATTGCAGGATCAAGACCCATCTGGAGAGAGGGAGGGGGAGCACCTCCTCCCAGGTAGACAGTGACCCCCACCTCTTAGCCACCAACATTACTCAGAGACCAACAAGGAAAGGGGGACCATTACAGATCTTTATGATTGGGAGGATTTAACCAGGAAACTGGAACACAGGCTGCAGAAACCACCGGGAAATCAACTAGGAGGTGAGGTGGCCACCCAGAACAGTCGAAAGCAATCCTCTTCCACAGTAACTGGAAGAGAAAGAGCTAGAGGCAGCGATGGACCAAAGTCAGTAGTCCCTGCCAAGTGTGGGAGTAGCGGCCAGGCATGTCCTTGCAGGAGTCACAGTAATGCTCCCAAAGCTGTAAGGCAGGGGAAACACCCACCCCCTGCTTTCCCACGAGCACTTCTTACTGGTCAAGCCCAGACCGATGGCACTGCCTTAGCGGGGGTACCTTCCCAGGGTACTGGGCAAGGGCTGGAACAGGAAGGAGCAGGTGAGCCCAGCTGATTTGACCCTTACCATATGTCCTGGTCCTGCTCCCGAAGCTGCCACTATGCCTTGGGCCACAGGTTGGAGCACTTTCATCCTGGAGGGCATATATCACCAGGACTTCATCCTCCTGCCCTCTTTGAACATTGGCCTCTGGATGCTCACACTGGCTTGTTTATCTTATGGTCCTTTCTCCCCTCTCTTCACCCTTCCCTCCTTCCACCTCCCTCCCAACTTCGTTTCCTACCTTCTTCCTTCTCTTCCTTCTTTCTCCTTAACTTACTCTTCCTCTTCCCTCCCTATTTCCCTCCCTCCTCCCTCCTCTCTCACCTCCCTCTCTCCCATTCTTCTCTCTCCCCCTCATTCCTTGCTCTTTCCTTCTTCCCTCCCTTCCTTTTCTCTCTTCGTGTCTTTGAGTTTTTCCATTCACCCTTCATGTCTAGCTCACTCCCTGTATGTCAGGTCCTGGGCTGAGCTCTGGAAACTTGTCAGAGGAAGAGAAAGCCTTGCTACCCTCACAAGGAATTCCTCTGATGACAATCCCCTACAAAGCAACATATGCAGGACAAGCCCACCCGTATAGCCCCAGAAGTAGGTGGTAGCGCAGAGGAAGGTGTGGCCAGTCCTGCCTAGTTGATGAGGGAGAAAAGCTTCCCAGAGGAGCCCATGCTGAAGTTAAATCTTGAAGATTATCTCAAAGCTAAGTGAGCAGACAGGGCATCCCTAGCAGACAGACAATATGCACGAAGACATGGGGACAAAGAAAAGAACTGTAATCAGGAGGGGCAGAGGTCAAGCATCCACACGAAATAGAAAGGCAGGGCTAGTTGCTGAAGGGTTTTTCAGGGTATTTCTTTTGGGAGCTAGCAAAAGGTTTGAAGCAAGATAGGAGCGTGTCAAGGTTTGTAGCTCAGGCCTGTAATCGCAGCTATTCAGGAGACTAAGGCAGATGGATGGAAACCTCAAAGCCTTCAAGGCTGACCAAGGCAATTTAACAAGTCTCAAATTTAAGAGGAGGGGCTGGAGCTGTACCTTAGTAGCAGAGCGCTTGCCTGGAATGTCGAGGCTCCTTCTGCAGTGTTCAAGAGGCAGACACAAAGGCCATCTATGAAAGGGTTGTTTGACAACCCACATGTTGAGAACCGCCGACCTGGAAACCCAACCTAGAGACCCTGGCAGATCAGTGCCCCTTTTAAAGGAACCAGCTTCCTTGTGCACAGAACATCTGTGTCCTCATGTGGGGGAAGGGAGAGCCAGCTCTCCTGGGCCTCTTTATTCTTATTTCTCCCCAGACTCAAGTTTTCCCCAAGTTCTACCTCACAAACTATTACCTTGGGGGTAAGGGTCTAACATATGAATCTGGGGGCTGATTATAGCAGGAAGCTCATTAGAACTGAGTGTTAGCGAGGTCACTCTGTCCATCACATAGAGAAGGGACCAGAAGTGTCACCTGAGGATGGAGGGTGGGAGAGAGGCCACGTCCACGAGAGAAAAGATGAAATGATCATCCCCCCTCCTTCCTCACAGTCAAGGACTGAGAGAAGAATTTAGGGGAGTGGAGCTATCAGCCGTGGGGAAGAGAAGGGATGGAAGGAAAGCTAGGGAAAAAAAGCAAACAAACCTTGGGGAAAGTTAAGCTTTTTCCAATAAATCAGTTGTCAGAGGCTGGGGTTGCTAGGCTACAGGAAGGTGGAACAGCCTGCGCTTGCTTGCTAAAAGGAGCTTTGGGGGAGGCCAGTGTAATCAGTCAAGTTTTCCCTCCTCCAGGCCCAGATCCCAGAGCCTCACCCTAGACAGGGTGATAGGGGGTGGAGAGAGAAATGCTGCTCTAGCTCCAGGCCACGCCCACTTGTGCAAATAGTACAGCACAGGGCAGCATCAGGGAGGTTGGGGGCCTGAGCTTGGATAGAGTACCCTAAGCCCAGGCAGCCTGTACATCCATGGGTGT